AGGAGTGTGTCTATGGGAATGTTTGACCATTCTTCCAGAAGCGCCTTTGTGAGGCCAGGTACTGATGTTGGACGAGAAGGCCGGGCTCGCAGTCTCCACTCTAATTCATCCCAAAGGTTCTATCGGGTTGAGGTCAGGACTCTGTGCAGGCCAGTTAAGTTCCTCCACCAAAACTCGCTCATCCATGTCTTTATGGACCTTACTTTGTGCACTGGTGCACAGTCATGTTGGAACAGGAAGGGACCATCCCCAAACTGTTCCCACAAATTTGGGAGCATGAAATTGTCCAGAATATCTTGGTATGCTGATGCCTTAAGAGTTCCCTTCACTAGAACTAATGTGCCAAACCCAACCCCTGAAAAACAACCCCACACCATAATCCTCCCTCCACCAAACTTTACACTTGGCACAATGCAGTCAGGCAAGTACCGTTCTCCTGGCAAATGCCAAACCCAGACACGTCCATCAGATTGCCAGACAGACAAACGTGATTCATCACTCCAAAGAACACATCTCCACTTCTCTAGAGTCCAGTGGCGGCGTGCTTTACACCACTGCACCCAACGATTTGTATTGCACTTGGTGATGTAAGGCTTGGATGCAGCTGCTCGGCCATGGAAACTCATTACATGAAGCTCTCTATGCACTATTGTTGTGCCAATCTGAAGGCCACATGAAGTTTGGAGGTCTGTAGGTATTGACTCTGCAGACAGTTGGCGACTTATGTGCGCTTCAGCATGTGCTGACCCCGTTCTGTCATTTTAAAAACCCAATTGTCCAATATGTAGTGTTGGACCAGGTGATGCTGCTATCTAAATATTAATTATTAAATTTGGCAAACAAAATTAAGAATTGCACCTGTCAGCGTAAAAGTGAAACCTACTCTAAGGTACGAACTAACCTAAGAGAGATTGCAAGTGTGAAGACAAGGGTAAAAGGGAAAGGAGTTGGAAACATACTTGTGATGTGGGCTCACTCAAGACACAGAGTGACAACTTGGTCTTCACCAGAGAATCTTGCAAGAAGTGATGGTCCGGTGGCCTTAGTGACCCCCAGGCTACTTTGCTGCTAGCTAGCACTAGGTCATGACCCTCAGGAATGCCCCACCTAGAGGTCGCAGGAACATGGTGGCTATGCAATGAACTGGGTAACAGGGTATGGAGACCGGGTAATTATATAGTATCTATGTCGCATTAAAAAAACACATCTTCTTAAATAACAGGCATCTTAAATAAAATACCTTTAATATTATTCTAGCATTACCTGATTTAGGATATGTGATATTAAAGATATCATCATCCCGTACTAAAAATTCAGCCATTCTGAACCTAGATGGGGACAGCATGCAAAATTAAATCCTATCAGCTGTAATTGTGTTTTCTTATTTCCTGAGAAAGCATTAATATACTTTCTATAATAAAATGCCTTGATATTGTTACAGAAGTTACACAAAATAAAATAAAAAACACACCACAGAAATCAGTTAGCTCACATTCATTTGGGCATTTAGTTTTTAGCTGCTAATTTATGACAGTTGGAGGACAGGAAAAAAACACGTAATAGAAGTAATGCAATTTTCTGCAATTCACCCTGCAGTTCAGGTAAGGGAGGTGGTGTGGGTTTTGGGGATGGGGTATGCAACCATGTTTCATGATACAGTGTAAATATGGGTGCAACATGACACATGGTCCAAAAGGTGGAGTTAGCCTTTAACACTAAGGCTCTTTCACACTGCCAAATCCTGAATGATTTTTTTTATTTGACCCCAAGGAGGATTTTACATGGAACTATTGTGCCACAACTGCATTTGGTGCAGATCCTGAATATTTTTTTTTTATTTGATCCCAAGGAGGATTTTACATGGAACTATTGTGCCACAACTGCATTTGGTGCTAGATTGTGTAGCGATCCCATTAATCTCTATGGTCTAATTTTTGCTGCAATGCAGTGTGTACAGCACTGTCCAGCTGCAATGTTAACTTGATAGTGGGTGGCCAAGGAACGGTGAAAACATGAAACAACTGGTTGTTATCTACTGCCGCTGTAAGTAAGTAATAATATTCATCGCACTTTCCCATTCACCTGGCAATTAAAAGCCATTTCATACTTGGGAATGTATGTGGCCACAGATTTACATCTTTTTTATAACTATAACTATATATGTTATTTCTCCATCTAACGGTTACATGGTGTCATGTCAGGTTCTCCTGCTCTTTCACAATCTCTTCATCCCCATCAATATAAGTATTCAATTGCTGGTGTCATTTTAGTTTGCTGGTGTTTATACACACATGCCTTTTCATTGTGGATGTAGAATTTTTTTCACTCTTGGTGTCTCCACAAGATCTGAGAAAGGGGGAAGCCCCCCTGAAACACGTCAGCTTTCTGGTTGCCTTCTTTTGATATCTGTGTGCCATTAATTGCTCATGTAAATGTGAGTAGTTTTATGTCAGATTATTTGTACTTCATTTATTATTTAAAAAAAAACATTTCTACACTAGGAGTGGGCGCTGTCCCCCCTTTTTTTGTCTCCCCATGTGGCACTTTACTTTTTTACACTTAACCATCTGTTACTGACCAAAAACATCACGCTCTAACTTGTGATTATATGCATCTTATAGACCAGTGGTGGTCAATTTTGTTAATATAGGGGGCCTTAAGCAGTCCCTGACATTGTCAAAGGGCAGCACATTATAGTCAGTGAATGTAATGCTACAGAAAGGTGTTGGAGATTTCAGATATAAAAAAAAATGGTCAAAAACTATGGGTATGATAAAAGAGATAATGTGAGAGTGCAGACATAGTGCAGGATAAGATCAGTGACAGGGAACAGGTTACTGAAGACTGGGGACATGCTTCAGGAGACTAGACTTCACAGACTGGAAACATTACATAAGACTGCTAGAGATCACTGCTATTACAGCCTCTTTATAAATCAACACTATCACAACTGGGGTCTATTCACTAAGCTGCCGTAGGCAGTCGAGTGGCTAACCGACCCCAAGCGAAGTGAGCCGAACTCTGTTCGGCTATTCACTTCAGGCTGGTACGGCTGATTCCAGCCGTATATATGCTGAAATCAGCCGTACATCGCGTGGCTTCAGGTCGGCCGAACATGCACAGCATGTTCGGCTGACCCGAAGTGCAGAAGGAGTTCGACTCAGCCGATCCAACATCTGGATCGGCTAAGCCGAACCTCCGGCAGTCTACTTGCTGCTGTTCGGTCTATTCTCATAGATGCCGAACAGCAGTGAGTAAATAGCCGAATGCCGCTGGGCGGCATTCGGCTCGGCTGTTCTGCTCGGTCCCTCTGTGGAACCGAGCAGAATAGAAAAATAGTTAAAAAAGTAGAAAAAAAATCAGAAAACGATTGTGCGAAGCTAGCAGTGACAGCTGTGACAGCTAGCTCCGCCCAACTGTTTTCTATTGGCAGGGCGGTTCTGCTGCCGTCAAAAATAAATTATTGAAAAAGCCAATAGGAATCTAGCTATGCATTCCTATGGTGATTTCTTTTTTTTTTTTCTGACGGCAGCCGATGTCAGAAGAAAAAAAACAAAAAACGAGCAGGGAAAGGTTTCTCTCCCGGGCGGCCGGGAGCCTATTAGACTCCCAGAGCATCCGGGGGAGGAATGACAGATGGTGTTCCTGGTTACCAGGTAACCAGGAACACCATCTGTCATTACACACCGAGAAGATGGAGAGGCCGCTGTGTTATCATAGTGGCCCGGCCGGGTTCTCAGTGTGTAATGACAGCGTCCCTGGTTACCTGGTAACCAGGGATGCTGATCTCTCTGCAAGTGGCCGCCCAGCTGTCAGAAGCTGTCGGCCAGCTTGGCTTTCGTATATATATGCCTTCAGCTCGACTGAGCCGCTCGGCCGACTTCGGGTGCTGTACGGGCTATAGTGAATAGCCCGTACAGCAGCCCTTCGGTTCTACTGAACTGAAGGGGTCCTGGGGGCCAAAGCTAGCCGAAGGATCAGCCGAAGCTATGGCTAGATCATTCGGCAGCTTAGTGAATAGACCCCAACTGTGTTCCCTAAAGCCCCCTAAAAATTGTGTGTGCCAGATTTGATATTTCTTTCAGCAAGATTCATTATAAAAGACTATAGTGAAAAAAAAAATGTCATGCTACAAACTACTGGAACCCTTTATCGGAGGGTAAAGACTAAGGTAAGGAAAGCACTATTCATATACTGATACATATGTGTAATGGTTTAGGCCCATGTTGGGGAGGCTGTGTAGGACTGTCTCTGCGCCCGCCCAGTCAGTAGCAGGTCATTGAAGTGGATGGCTCCAGATGACTCATTACCATTATTTTATTGAAGTAAGATCACATCATGTATAATCCGTGGCATGATATA